CCTAATTGTTGCAGTTCTTTATTTCTGAACTGATGGTGGCAATGAACTTAATACTGATGCTTCTGCTCTAGTAGCATTAATTAGAAAGGCTTCGTTGGTTTCTTCAACCTCTTTGGCATCTTCATTTTCAATTTCATAAACATTAACTTCTTCGATTTCAGCTTTAATTCTTTCAACTTCAACTTGTTTCGGGCTTGTTACTCTGTTTCAGTATCAATTAGCATTAAGTCTTCATTATCAATATCATTCTTAAAATGATATAGAATTAAACTATTGTTAATTGAATATATCTCATATAAGGATAGATCTACTTACTTCCTTATTATTTGTTAATTCATTTAAAAAATGGCTAGGTTTTTTTGGCTTAGCACTATGTACTTTAGGGGCTCCAATGCTTGATATTCTTCGTTCAGATAGTTCAATAGGACAAAATGGGTCCTTTTCTGTAGTTATATACTTGTATAGAAAAAATATATCATTACCTTGCATTGAGAAAATTCAAAGAATTTCCTTAAATGCTGTTTTATTAGAGTTGCTGTAAATTAAAAGGTTTTTTTGTTCAGCTGGTACTCACGTTTCTTTTTGCAGAAATATTGTACAAGATCATATTTTATTATATTTAGAGTAGTCTTGCCATTTTCTATATCATTAAATAGGCATGCTGCATATACATGCTTGCATACATCACAGAAAGACCCATTCCACACAAAATCAAGACATGTGCACTCTCCTGTAGAAATATTAACAACATAGTAATCATCTAATTATATAACTGGGTATTTAGATACAAGCTTATTTAATAGTGACTAAAGTAATTTATATGCTTTATTATTGAGATTAATATTTTTCATTGTATATGGAGAGCAAAACTTATTATTTCCTTTTTTTACATAAAAATATAAATCATTTTTACTAACTACAGGTTTTACTAAATAAAGTAAAACACACAATCATCTCTGATTTAAACGTCATTTTACATCTGCAGGTTGTTTAAATGGTAATGCTTGATATTCTATAATACGTGTATTCTAATATATTACTTGACCAGCTTCAAATATAAATTGTGAAGAGGTCTCTTGAATGATATTATCTTGTACTAATCTAATCCCATATAATCTTTCGATAAAGTTATTGATTGGCTGAGTGCCTATACGTCGACCTTCAATTAATTTGTTCATTTGTTTTGTAAGATTATTTGTAGTTATAGATTTTACACCCGGGCGATTATTTATAGAGGGCAACCGACCACCATCAATAAAACAATCAATCCATTCTTCAGATAACCAATTAGCAAACATATCATTGCACAAGTGTTCTTTGGTAATTTCTGGAAGTAGTAGAGTTCTAATAAATAACTTATAAGTGTGACCAAGTTCTATAGCTTTCTCTTTATTTCTGCTTCTACCTACAACTTTAAATACAATAGTGATTGGATATTGATAATGATTAGCAATTCTTAAATCTTTAGAATGCTCCCCAAGTGTTTGCATAATATGAAACCAATATAAAATTAACCCACAGAGAATAGGTTGAAGCCCCTGTTTTGTCAGTCTGTGTTTATCAATTATTTAATATGGGTGCTACTCTTGTGCACAACGACGAATTTTCATAAATTCTTTTCTATTTGCTAGCTCTATATACTGATACTCATGTATGCAATTAGTATTATTATATGGAATATTTCATTTAATTGCTTCTATAGCAAGCCTAATTGTATGATTGTTTTCTTTGTTTGATACACCAAATGCAATTGGAGTTCCATAACCTGCACTATCTTTAACAACAAGAGACAATACTGATGCACTATTACTATTCAAATCATATTTTCTGTTAACTCCAAAGCAGAATGATCCAAAATCACGTGCTTGTTGAAGCCACAAGTCATCACTCATGGTAAGTTAATAATACCGTTCTGAACTATTTTCATCTGCATTAATGTCTGGCTGCTGATAATATAAAATAACACCTTTTTTTTTTAATGCACTAGTTACTAACTTATGCACTACTGACCATGGTTCTATTTTTTTTCTTAAACATAAGTCATCTCTTTCAAGAAGTTGCCAAAGTTTGACATCATCATATATAGAGCTTTGATTATTATATAACTTTTGAAGTTCATTTTGTGAAACTCCATTATAAGGTGCAAGAAGCTTCATTTTAATTTCTTTGGTTGTACTTTTGTTAGCTTGATGATTTAAAATTGCCAAATCTTGTGCTTCCTGACTCAGATTAATCTGAGATAATATGACTCTTTCATGAATAATATTTTGTGGAACATAATTGCTATAATAATTATGTGCATTGGTAGGTCTGTATCTACTTCGGATAGCATAACTTCAGTAGTTATTTGTATGCTATATTTATGCATGTCAAGAGGATTCTTGAGGTTGTATTTAGTGTAATGATTACATGTTTTAATACATGAGCCAATTCCACCACAGAGCCTTTGACAACCACCTTCACTAGAACAAAACCAAGTCCATCGCCAAACTTGAAGATCTTTTTCTTTTTCTATACTTATTTGTTGAACTTAGTTTTTTTTATTTTTAGTTAATCGTAAGATATCATCAAGGCAGTTTGTAGATTTACGCTAACCTTTCACAGTCTTCTAGCTAATATAATCAGCTGAAACTTCCATGTGCTTGATTATTACAAGTCTTTGTTTTACTAAATCATTCACTCTCTTTCTGCTTTGAACCTTATAATGAATACCATATGAAATAGGAAGTAAATAAAGATATTGTTCAACTGCCCTTCCAAATGGCAGATGAATAACACCATTGTTATCAATATGAACAGAACAGGTGGCCATTTTGTATATAAATTAAATTTATACAATCACAGTAATATTATATTTCGTGACAATTATTTTTATACAATAAAATAGGTGTTTGATTAAATTTATTTAACCGCAATATGACAATAGAATGAAGTCGAAAAGAATATATTAGATATAGAAAAAGATTGGCTTTTATATTTTGATTACTAATCTATTTTAGCTTTACTGAGTCTATTTTATAGATATGATATTTCGAACTTCGAATAAATGATAAACTTTTAATTATATCTAAAATCACATGATCACAGTTCTTCAAGATTCACATTAGAACTAATTAATTATTTTGTTAATACAGAACAATGAAATATAGAGTTTTATCTTAGTTAAAGAGGATTTAATGAGTAAAAGTATTAAAAACTCATATGATGCAGATGTGTTATACAAATGTCAACAACAGTGAATCAAAATTTTTTAATGGTCAATAATGATATACAGATTTTTTTTAGATCAATAATGATGGTCCAAATAGGTTAATATTAATGTTTTTGCCACCTTAATACCAAAAAAAAAAAAAAAAAGTATTAACTGTAAAATAACACGCAGGGTGTAATTTTAATTTTTAGCCTAAATTAAGCTTAATTTGGGCCAAAATTCAAAATAATTCCCCTGTGCATTTTTTACGGTTATATAGTACATATAGGACCTCTCATAGCAAAAAGAGAGGCTGGGTCAAAAAATTAGAAAATTTATTCTTATAATAATTTTATTCTAATTAATCTAATTTTTCAAGATATTGAATTTTTTTAAAAAAAATTTTTTTGGCCCAGCCTCTTCTTTTGCTATGGGAGTCCCTATATATACATACAAATGCTAATAGCTTAACTTAACTAGTATATTTATTATTATAAAAACTGATTAATCAATAGAGTTGAGTCATTAGCATCCCTATATATACATACATACAAATATACTTGGCATGCTGATACGTAATAATAAGACATTCTCTAAATACGGAAACAATTTCTTATTACACAATTTTATAGAAATTTTCTTTGACTAAGAGCAATTTACGAATTATTTGTTTTATATGTAAGGACACTGTATAGCAAAAAAAAGTGATATGTAGGACTATGCAATATATATTTCCATCTTCTCTTTTGCTGATATTTTTTAACTGCATTCTTACCTTAACATGAAGCTTATACTTGAATCAATTATAATAAAGCACTTAAAAAAAAAATTATAAAATAAAAATCTAATTAAACTTTATCACTAACCCATCCTTATATATTCAATCTCAACTTTTTGAATCAAATAATAATATTTATAAACAAGAATATACAATTCTAATCCATCTTTATCTTACTGAAAACTCTACTATAAAACTTGACAGGGCTTTTGACTTGAGTAAAATAAAACAAAAAATAAAGCTATTTTAAGCTTAATGCTTACACTATTACAATAAACTACCTAAGTAAATATAATAATATACTACAGTACTATCAACTAATAGAAGTATATATTACAAGTGCATTTGAAACTAATTTTTGACACTGCATATATGAGCATTATAACTGGTCTGACCCCAAGTACCACAATGATGTAACTTATTATTATGACTAGTGAGATTCTTGTCGACTACAATACATATACAAAATTTAGCGATAGTGTAATTAAAGACTTTCAATAAATATATATAAATCTTAAACTTACCTGTACTTAAACTCTCAATATTATACCTTGAAATTGATAGTGGCAAATCATTATTTTCATCATTGGTCTGGCTTTTTCATATACAAGTATTATGGCCTATTTGATTACAAGCACTATAGCAACGAGAGGTATTTTTATAACTAGTATAATTCTTGGCTAATATAAAATTTGACAATTAGTATAGTTAGTTGATATAAACTTAGAATGTTTAAGAAAATTTACCCATGCCTTCAATATTTAAATTCTTTGTGTTATGTTTTTTAACTAATAATAAATTAACACTCTTATTGTCATTATAATCATTCTGAGTAGTATTATACAGATTAAATATTCGAGAATTATTCTCTGCTTGACTACAAACTCTACAATAACAGAACATATATACATTTGTAATCTCAGATAATTCATCTCTATGAATATTTAATATCTTACTATGACTAACTTGAGTTGTTTTTAATTTTTTATACTTATTGTCATTAAATGCTTTTATTCTTTTATTTCTTGGTTTTTAGCCCTTCGAATAAACACTAACTGGATTACTAATCGTAGCTACAAGTTGAGAAAGATCATTATCATTCAGATTGTTATGTCCTATAAGTTCCATCTCTATTTCTTCTGCAAGTTAAAGATATATTTCATATATCTTATTATATCTTTCTGTTGCTATCACTAAATTAAGTATCTTTTTTATAATTTCAAACTCTTTACCTCATCATTTTTTTAATGACATTTCCTTACGTACTTTACTTGTAAAAATATAACTACCTTGTATGCTATTAAGATGTACAAAATCGAGTAATATATTGTGGTTAGATAATTTAAACTACTCTTTAATTATTGTTAAAATTACTAGCTTACTTGCAATATCTATATCTACTGTGCATACTGCTTTATCTAAGTACCATCTGCATGATATAAGCCTAATATGAAACTTAGCCACTTTTGAAGACAACATTACTGCAAAAAAATGCTGCCAGGGAATACTGTGATTAATTAATGTTAAGCAGGTACTAAAATGCATTGTCTTATTATATATTACTACAAAATACTTGCTTTTCATATTAATTGATGAGACCTTCCAGATTTCTTAAATACGAGAACAATCTAGGTTAATAACTAATTGTTCGAGCTTAATAACAAATGTGTCAAACATATCATTATTAAACATTCCAATTAAAATATCATCTGTCAATTATAGAATAAGATTAGTTAATCAAACTACTTTAATGCTATAAAAAAAAAAAGGTTGTACACTTGAACCTAACTATAATTCTAAATTAAAACATTACAGATACACAATTTTATTACTGATAAATAACAAAAAAAAACATGCCTGACTTTCACATATATCTTCTAAATTAGCTAATCGCACTCGATAATAAATGCTACAATTTATTTCACAATGTTGAATTTTAAGGATTGCTGTAGTTAAAAATTTCTGATATAATTTATCAATTGCTTTAAAATATCTGCTATAATAGTCTTCATTATTTATATTTGGCAAAACACTTGCAACTTCATTAAAATGTTGGTAATAATCTTTTTTAACAAGTAATTTGTCAATAGTATTGCTTAATTCATACAGAGACGAAGCACTATTAACATGTTTTTTGATAATGCTAATGTATAATTCTACCATTGCATATTTTGTATTTTGTGTATAACAGAATGTATTAAAGAACTCATTTTATTTGTCACTTTTATATTTGCTTAATAACAATTTTTCAAAATTTTTTCTAATGTGAAAAAGACAAAAATGGTGCTTAATACTTGGCAGAACTTCATTTATGGCAGCAATCATAGCGCAATCAGCATCCGTAAACAACAACTTTGGTGCTAATCTATTTGATACCTTTAATAAATTTTCTAGAATGCATGAAAAAGTTTTCTTAGTTTCATCTTACATAACTGCAGTTGCTACTAGCTGTGACTGATTGTGATTATCGATAACTATTACAACACATAGTTTTAACAAATAATAATTTGTTTTGAAAGTTGTGTCTATTAGAACAATATCATAAAATCTGTCCCACAACTGTATCTGACTTGGTCATATCTATAGGAGACTAACCAGATAGTTATCTATTCCTTTAAACCTTACATTAATATAAAAACCAAGTTCTTTGTGTTGTCTTTTAAACATCTCCTGTTACTTTATGTTTCTTACAACAGATAGTTTGTATCATATTATATATATTGCGAGTATGAATATATTTGGCAAGTTTTTTTTTTGTAACACCTCAATAATCCTACCAGGTCGAACACCACAAGCTGTAAATAATCAAATATCTTCTTGCATTTTTTTTATTAACTGCTGATATCTTGATTCAACTATAGCGATATTTTTAACTATTTCATATTTAAATATACCAACAACATTTGAGATTTAAATCTGATTATCACTTTTCTACTGATATACATTTACATAATAAGGACAACTGCCTGCCTTATGGCTTTTATTTCTCTTATTAACTACATGAAATTCTTTACATTGTACATACTTCTGTCCTTTTGTGCATAAATATACATGACTTGAGGCTTCTTATCAATTTTGTCATTCTCACTGTGCATTATACAAAATGCAAAACCATGTGCTTGACTACTATGACAATCAAACAACCTAAAATTGATTATAGATAAAAGGTTTAAACTATTCTCTAACAAAAAGCTAATAAAAATTAAAAATTAGTATATATACTTATATATTAACTTCCTTTCAAGATTTGAATACATAATTTTCAATTAACAAATATATAGATTTAGCATTTTCGTCCTTGTTTTTCACACTTGACTAATTCTCTTCAATTACTCTTTCTTCATTATTGTATTCTGTATTATAGTTGTTAACTACATCTGTAGAAATCCTATTATCATTCATAAATTCATTATAATCTTCATTGCATATTAAAATTATTGAATTTATTTGTAGAAATCCTATTATTATTCATAAATTCATTATAATCTTCATTGTATTGCCCGTTAAAATTGTTATGCACATCTATAGAAAATCTATTATAGTTTATAAATTCATCATAATCTTCATTGTATTGCCTGCTAAAATTGTTATACACATTCAAAAAAGTTCTATTATTGTTTGTAAAGTCACCATAATCAGAATCATCATAAGTATCAGAAAAGAACATATTGTTCATAATGTAGTGAAGTAACCCAGAGAAAAAATTTATAGAGAAAACTTGAGATTAAGTTAACACACAAAGAAAAGTAATCCAAGCCCAAAAAGAGATGTGACCAAAAGTATAAAAAAAAAAATAACTCAAAAAATAATAAACTATATGACATGAAGATAAAATGTGATTGAAAAAAAAGGAAAAAGTAGGCTAAAAAAAAAGTATCCCAAAAAGGACAAAACCAAAAATGATACAAAATAAAAAAGATAACATGAAACAAATAAATAAGAATAGCAAAAAAAGCAACAATGTAAATAGACGATACAGACTGGAGAATGGGAAGCAAAGTGAAAAAATAACACAAAAAAAAGAAAGAACTTACTTAAAGTAAAACAGAAAAGCGATCTATATA